TAAAAGGTTTAGCATGGTTAGCTTCTAATCTATGGATTTCTTCTGTGCTACTACTTTTATAATATATGATCAGTATAAACAGAAGAAAATAAAATATGTTTAATATATGAATAGATTATTACAAGAAGAGCTTTTACCTGGTTATAAAAGGACTGCTATGACAAAAATTAAAGGCAATCGTTACTTTTTATAGTATAACCTTTAATCCTAATAGTCTTAAACCGAATGAACAAGTTTATATTAATATTCCAAAATTGAAAGCAAATAGTTGCTTAGTGCCTGAGTTCCTTAATCTATCGTTTGATCTTAAAATCAATGTAATAAAAAGTCACTTTATAAATAATCTCAGTCAGATTTTACAACATAGACTACAAATTAAAGAATGTAAGAGCCCTTACGATTAATTAACATAATGTTATAAATATACTACAAGACTTGTGGATGCCAAAAAGTGATCGACAGGCCTTATTAGATACGGTATTTGTAGCGAAAATTTACGAAAACTCATTCGAAAGATGATACTGCTGTAACAAGTGGAGTCAGAAAAAGTAGAACAAATTAATGTATGATATTTATGGTATGAGACAAAAATTAATATTGATAATATTCTTAAGACCATGGTCTGTATTGCCCTTTCAATATGAATAATAACTACATAATAACATTACCACCAAGTGATCAAGTCCTTATCCCCAAAGCGGTCAAAATATAGGTGATTATGAATTAGAAAATATCAACCTGAATATGAAACTATTGAAAACCAAGAAATTGCAAATGAGGTGACAAATTTATATTCTATGGAAGCCTATTTTATGAACATATAACCCTCTTAAAAAAATGGGATAAGTCAAGTACATTATAGAATATAAACATAAATGTCCTCGTAAAAGTATGAAAGGCATTGTACTACTATTTACAGAAGATTCATTAGTATTAGTGAAAAAATTTCTATTTCCATTAATCGATAAAATTTCTGTGACAATAGAGGGTGTAAATTGTATTTTCGCCCAAAGTATGAATAAAAACAATTTTATGAAGAAGCAAGAAATTTTTGATAGAACTATTCCGATAGATTGCTTCATGACAATTGAAAAATTTTATGGATAAATTTGCATTAGTTATCGATCTACGCACCTTTCAAGAAAAAATATTGCTGGGTAACGGTAAAAAAATCATTAATACTCAAAATGCGTTTTGCTTGAAATTAAAAAGGCATATACAAAAGATTTAAACTGTTACATCTATGTTATCAGTGATGCTCTTGTTCAATTTATTAATAATGATTTACAAAGTATTCAATACTAGAATAACCAGTAATATATAAATGAACACACCCTTTAATATGATTATTGTAGGCATGACGAATTGTGGTAAGAGTCATTACCTTCTCAAATTAGTAGAAAAAAACTTTAATAGACATTTTGATTACATTATTTTAATATGCCCTACGTTATCATATAATAAAACCTATCAAGAATGGAAATATATAAATGATTCTGATTTAATTAAGGTAGAATGTGACCAAGATCAGATAGATATTGTTTTAAAATATGTTAGTGATGTATATAAAGGGAGCAATAGTCTTATTATTCTTGATGACTGTGCGAGTTGCTTAGATGTTAAAAATAGGACAGCAATTAATAAAACTAGGTTCAGTGCTCGTCATTATGGGCTTTCTACTATTGTGGTGACACAGCAATTGACTAGTATTTCTAAACCATATCGTGAAAATATAAGTTATTTAGTTACATTTTATAATACAAACCGCAATGATATGAAAACCATATTTGATGATTATCTTTATGGTGTTGAGAAAGATGATATAGAAGAAATAACCAAAAAATTGAAAAATAATAAGTATGCACATTTAGAAATACAACTTGTATACCCATACCAATGGAAAATTGTTATTCAGCAATAAAATATGTGTTAATATATATATGCCAAAGCGTAAAGAACCTGAAACAATTGATGATATAATTAATGAGATTGATTCCGCAAATGATACTATCAAAGATGCAGTATGTGATGATAATATACAAGATAAACCGCAAGAAAATTTTAATAAAAGAGATCAACTACTTAAACTAGCTGAAGATGGTTATTTAGACAAGTCAGTTTCTTACATTAAAAAAGCCAGTCAAAAAATTATTGATAAATTATACATTGAATACGAAAAAAAACGATTACAAAAAGCTAATGAGTTTTTAACTGATTTAGTTATATCAAAATTTTCAGATATATTAAAAGGGTTTGATGCTATTGAAGATCCTAAAGAATTAACAAAACAGCTTAAATCAGACGACCTTTTAAAACGAGATGTTTATAGTTTAGTAGAAAAAATATCACCCCTATTACCTTTTCTAGGTTTTTTATCTGGTGGTATAACAACTGTTAAACATGTTTACGAACATAAAAATAATAAACCGGATATAAAATCTGAGGAATAATATAAATGAGCTTATTTTATGGGTATGATAAAAAAGATATTAATGTAAATATACAAGGACCTGTAGATAAAACACATCTATCAGATAACCACTACACTAAAACTTAAGTTAATAATAAATTTAATGACTACTATACTAAAACGCAAGCTGATAATAAATATGCTTTGACTTCTAATTTAAATAAATATTATACTAAAACACAAGCTGATAATAAATATGTTTTTGTTTCAAGATTAGCCAACTATTATACAAAGAATGAAACAAATGGTAAGTATGCTTTAAGTTCTAATTTAAATAAATACTATACAAAGAATGAAACAGATGGTAAGTATGCTTTGACTTCTAATTTAAATAACTATTATACTAAAACACAAGCTGATGGTAAGTATGCTTTGACCTCTAATTTAACTAACTATTATACTAAAACACAAGCTGATGGTAAGTATGCTTTGAATTCTAATTTAAATAACTATTATACTAAAACACAAGCTGATGGTAAGTATGCTTTGACTTCTAATTTAACTAACTATTATACAAAGAATGAGATTGATAGCAGAGTAAATGGTAAAGTAGTACACCATAGCAATCAATTAAATTATAAAAATTTTAATACCCGACAAGATACTATCAGAATTTATTTTAATAATGTTAAATTTATTGAATTTACACTTTTATTAATAAATCCGTCTGATAACTCTAAAACAATTGAATTAGATATGATGGCAGATAAGATTGAAAAAAAATTTATCATTAAACTAACAAATGATAATGAAAAAAAGATAGTTAATGCATTACTAGATTTATATCACGTATACTGTGTTGATGATGATTCAACATATATTTATATTATTATTGAACCAACAAAATCATCAGTTTCACTAGGTTATGACGAATGGAAAAGAAAATGGCTGGTAGCATTTAATAAATTCACCAAAATTCAAGTTTATTCACAACATCAATCTACATTATCTATGTCATTTAATGGTTTTTCACAAAATTTTAGGGCTACTATAGAAGATAATATTCTATCAACTAAAAAATTTGTAAATGATGAAATCGAAAAATTAAAAAAATTTATTAAAAATAACTATCAAGCTAAAACTTAAGATGAACAATAATCCTCATGTTTGACTACATATCACATAACTGTTTGTAACAAGTAATTAATAAAAACGGTCTACCGCATATATACCTTTTATAATAACTGTTTCTGGAGGTAGTTTATAAAAATTAAATTATTAACACTTGATTATTAACACTTGATTATTAAAGACGGTTTTTTGAAGAGCATTTTTTAAGCCTCTGTTATTCTCGACGACCGATGTGAGATGCAAAAAGGAAGTGAAGAAGAGAATTGCTGTTGCAAAATTGAAATTTCAATTTCAAGACTTGCGATCCATCTTTGTCAACCGAAACTTATCAATGCCACTCAAAATACGATTACTCAAATGCTACATTTGGTCAATCTTGACTTACGGGTGTGAAGCCTGGACTCTAACTGCTGACCTGGAGAAAAACTTAGAAGCAGC